TAAGTGCAAAAGATACCTGTTGATCCTGCCATAAATCCACTGTTATCCTGTGTACTGTGCAGTGTTGTCTTAAGCAGTTTTTTTAGTCATGTCTGTTCCATACCTGAACTACAGAACACCTCCCCCACAGTTATACAGAAGAGGGGCAGGTGCTGCCCTCCACAGAACGCCAAGTGAGCACTGTCACCCTAAGACAGGAAGTGTGTTGCTGGTAGGATCACCAGGTGAAACAAAAAGAACCACAAAAAAGAAAACTAATGCAGCCAGCACATCTAAGGATTGGTAAACTACAGTATCATTGATGTTTTTTAAATTTAGATACTCTTTACCATATTATGCTTCAAGAGGAAATGAGGAATATAGAGGGTTCCAGGTCTGAATTATTTTCCATAATTCCCTGTTACTCAGTTATACACTGAAAAGAATACACCAAGATCACTTTAAAGGGCCACTCCAACCACCTTTGATTTTACAATATAAGTTTGGAGACACAAGATCTCTGCATCTGACTTCCCAGCTTATCCCAACTAGGGTGGCCTGGACATTTCAATATTTGGATGTCTATAAAGCTAAGTAAACATAAGTCTGACAAAAGAGTGTAAGAGATGGTCTAACCTTGCAAAGCCAGAAGAGGAGAGGCGAGAGTTAGGAATATTAGAGCGAGGCTGAAAGCAGATTGAAGGCAGATGGAAATTAACAGTCCAGCAAGCTAGAATGAAGCAAAGAAAGCAAACCAGGATAGTTGGTTAGTGCAAAGAGAAAACAAGCCTTCAGAAGAACTAATTCACTGCATTGAAAAGGAGAACTTCAGTCAAACCAAAAATCATCAGTGAACTCACATTAAACCAGGTTTATGTCAGATTAGCATTCATGGTTTTAAAACAAACTCCAAAAGCCCCTGTACTGAAGATTAACCACTTCCAGCCCGGACACTTTTACCCCCTTCCTGTCCAGGCCAATTTTCAGCTTTCAGTGCTATCACACTTTGAATGACAATTGCGCGGTCATGCAACACTGTACCCATATACATTTTTTAGCATTTTTTGAGACAGATAAAGCTTTATTTTGTTGGTATTTATTCACCACTGGGATTTTCATTTTTTTTTGCTACGTAAATTAAAGAGTCCAAAACTTTTTTAAAAAAGTGTTTTTCTTATAAAATTTTGCAAATAAATAGTATTTCATCATAAATGTTGGCCTAAAATTTATTCTGTTATATTTTTAGTATAAAAAAAAAAATAACCCAAATTAGTTTATAACCAAAAACTATAATTTTTAAACTTTTTTACATTTTTTTTTTTTTTTACATACTGTCACCCTAGCAGTACAGTGTCATGGTGACACTGTACTACTTGTGGGGGTGATGAAGATTTTTTTTTTTTCTTTACACGGATTGCTTTTACACCCATAAAGGATGTAAAAGCAATCATTTCTCCTTCTCTCTAGCTGCATTCTTGCAGCCATTGAGAACTACTGAGTGAGCTGTGATTGGTCACATGGTGAATAGCCTTGAACCATGTGACCTCTGTGATCATTCACAGATTTCACACGTAGTAAGCAATGATGTCAGAAGTGACATCTTGCTTACTACTCTGCATGTGATCACTGATTGGCCAATCAGTGATCACATGATCGGGACCTCGTACAGAAATCCCGTCCGACGATCGGTGTTCCACTTTGGTCCGGAGGACACAGTGGGCACCAGATAGTGGTGCTGCGCGCTCCCAGGGAGCGCACACAAGCAGGGTGCGGGGAGGCCGTTTATAAACGGCCACCCGACCCTGCACAGCCACCGTCCGGCCGTTTATATACAACGCCCAGACGGGAGGTGGTTAATACTGTTGCACCTGCAGTGCCTAGCTGCCATATATCGTCGGCATAGACAACACAATGTGCAATAGCTTGCATGGCCATACAGCAACCAACCAGATGCCTTGATTTTATTTTCCTAGTTCAAAAAATATCAGACTCAATGAGTCACTATGGGCAAGTTCCCCAATTTTGTTTAACACTTTTTCTCTATTAGGTCCCAGAAATGTTTGGATTTTAGGATTTGAGGGTTATAGTAGTCTAGAATTTGGTTCAGTACTCTTTTTTGTCAAACAGTATAGACAAATGTATCAGTTCATACTATTTACCGATCTATGAATTTTGTGTATTTCCTGGAGTTCTCCAAATTTATTCTGTCTCCAAAGAGCAAGACTTTTAAGCATTTAAAAAAATTATAGGAGGGTCAACAACTCCATGCAAAAGAATAGGAAGTCATGAGGATATGGCTGGGACATGCATATGCTGCTGTGTTATCTGGTACAGTTATTGCACAATTAGTTGGTCCTGAGTTCAGTTCCCCATTGGAAATTATTTCCATAATGTCTGTACATTTCCCCCTGCCTGGGCAGGGTTCTTACATGTGCTTCACCTTCCAATCACAGTATTGTGCACTTACTAGAAGGCAGTCCCTCCACATCCACTGGGAATGATACTTAATGGAGTCTGGGCAACAAATCCTGCTGGATTACCAGTGACACCAAAAGAAATACAATGACTGCCATCTTTTCTGGGAGGCACAGGCTATCGTAATAGGAGGGACATGCACACAATATTTGGCCAAAAAGTCTGCGGGCTCCAAACCATGACGTCTACATGAGCTTGAGTGCAAAAGACCAGCCACACACTGATGACCTAAACGCTTCAGCAAAACCCTTTTGTTCTGGATCACCATGATTAAGCTGGTTCTTAAAGTGAAGCCAATCAGTGGGGTCCCTGGAAAAGATTCTTTGTGCATGTCGTGAACAATAAAGTTTTACTGAGGCCCTGATGACGTTGGTGTGCAGCATTTTTTTTGTTTTTTTTTTGCACTTGAGTTTGTATTGAGAATGTGGACGAGTTCCATCTTGCCTGTACCCAAGTTTCCAAAAACTGGCATATGAAGAAACTTTGGAGCAGTGACGCTTCCTGCTATCAATAATCCACAAGATTTTGGGAGTGTATTTATGGAAATGTGTGCCCATTAGGCCAATAGAGCTGTTTGTGAGGTCAGGCACTGGTATTGGAAGAGAGGTATTTGTTCCACTCATCCAAAACATGTTTAATAGGGTTGAGATCAGAGCCTTGTGCAGCTCAGACCATTGAATTACTTCACACCAAACTCATCAAATCATATTTTTATTGACCTGGCTTTGTACTCCGGAACACAGTCATCTAAAACAGAAAGGGCCTTCCTCAAACTGCTGCTACATGATTATAAGCATTGAGAGCCCTGAATGATGTCAATTCTGGCAGAACACACCAAGCGGGGGGTAATCATGTGATGTCACTGCGCACGCTGATCGGTGTGGCGCCATCTTTGTTTCACTGTTGTCTGTTTTAGGCTTCCTCTGTGAGTATATACGCTTTTTAATAACTCTTGTGAATCCTACAGTATTGCACTATGTGAAGTTTACCATGATATATGTTCAAAGGTAGTGAAGATGAAATGGTGAAGAGTACTGTTGAAATTGGCCACTAGATCTTTACCCATTTGGGGACAGCACTTTGGACCTCCTATAGTTAAGAGGTCTTATGATCTGGTAAGAGGCATGCTGTTTGTGGAGAAACACAACACCAGCTGACCTGGCATGATTTTTGCTTGTTGGATTTTTGGAAGTGGATTCTTGCACTAATTAACATTTCTTTACTGAATACAATTTTATTTTAGGTTATATAAATGTATTTCACAAGTATATGCAATAATTGATTAACAATTATAATGTATACGGTTTAACTTGTCACTTTTATTGATTTATATGATTAATAAGATTCAAAATGGATAGAGCATCACATTTTGGTTTGATTTTATGTACTAGTTTTTGGGTATTGGTGTGTGCTGCTGCCAAAAAAATCTTCATGGAGTGCAGAGGTAATATATACAGATATTCTCAACTGTCTAAAACATCTTTGTATGCTGTAGTATTAACAGTATTCTTCACTGAAACAACGTCCACATACTTTTGCCCCTATATTTAGGTATGAAAGTGTGATGGTCAGGTGTGCACAGACTTTTAGCCATATAGTGCATAAAAAGTGCCTTCCAACATCATTCTACGGAGGGTGGAGAAAACTCAATGTCTAATGGGATGACAGTAACAGATTGGTCTATTTACGACTATATAATCGCCTCAGAACAGTCCGTCACTGTGGTTTTTTTTTTTCTTCACAGATTAGTGTTTTTAATACACATTGGACAAACATAGGAAAAACCAAATGTATGATGAGTATACACCCACCATATTAAAGTAGAACTAAGGCCTCCCATTAAAATAGAAATATGTGCTGCACATTGCATTATGATTACAATTTTCTCTTAGTCCCCCTAAAGAGTTGCACAAATACCTGTTGAACCTGCCAGTGTAGTCCACCTAATGCAGCTTCTTTTGATGGAGTGGCAACAATGCTGCACTGTTCCTGAATTCCGAGCAGAGTTGCCATTCTCATGCAGGCTGTGCCTTCTTATGGTCCAGTGCGATATGAATTTTGCAGGGGTGTAATTATCAGCATTGTCACTGCTGATTCATAGCCTGCAGCTCATCAATCAGCATTGGGCCCACATAGCTCTGCTAACTGCTTCTGGATTAAAAGCATTGCCTGTTTCTGAAGCCCTCCCTGGCTGAACTGCAGTCTCTGGGAGGGGGAGCACATGACAAACAAAAGAAGGCGAATTTGGCTCAGTCAGAGAAATGTATTTTCATTTATGAGACTTGTGCACCACATAGTAACTGGATGTGGTACTTCTTAAAACTGTCATACTGAAGCCTTTAGCTGTACTTTAAGTGTTAAACTCACACTTTTCAAGTAAGTAAAATAAATCACAGCAAATGAGGGAAGTAAAGGATGTTAATATACTTTATATAGTCTGTTACAAAGCAGCATCCCCATCCAAAGCATAACACACACTGAAACATATCTTGCAGTTATAAAAATGCAGTGAGCATGTTACTGAATGCAATTCCCTCTTGACTTACACAGAGCGGACCAGGAGAAAAGGAGTAAGGAACATTCCATACCGGGAAATGATCAGCTCTCTAAGGCAATTTGAAGTATAAATTAGAAGAATTTTTTTGTTTATAATGAAAAAACAAGGGTCTTCAAAAAAACAGTATAAATACACAATCTCTAAATTAACATGAAAATATTTACAAGCTTCTCAACAATGCAGACTTGAAACCAGCATTTCCCAAGTGGACTTTGCAGTACCACGCAAAGTCTGCTTATAACGTCTGGGCCCCTTCCACCTGTAAATATTGCTGGCTGATATTTCCAAACAGTTTCTCAATCTTGCTGGAGTTAAACAGCGGCTTATGGGGACTACGGTGCATGATATGCTCACTTCTATTTTAAATGACACCCAAATAAAATTTTTAAAGGTCTGGGATCTGTGGATTGCTTGTAATGACTATCCAAACTTAGACTGCTTCCGGCTCTCGTACTGAAGGGCCTGTTCACAGCCCTTGCTTCAGTACCCCACCCCCTCTTCCTCCATTTTCTTCACCCTCCCTCCTATACCTTCTTTGCCCCTTTCTTTTCTCTGTGGTTTTGTCCCTACGTTTTAGAGGGAGCCTTTGAGTCTTGTTTTTTTTCACCTCTAGGGCTAATTGGTGGCATTTGTGCCAGTTCTCCCCATTTGTTGGAGGCCAATACTGCCTTTTATCAGAAAAAGCCCCCATTGAAAAGGGTTTTTATTTTGTTACTGATAATATTGACAGTATGTGCAACTATATTTTCATACTGTTGTTCTGATAATTTTCCTTTTTCTTGTATGCATCTTGTAAACATCTGGTATACTTACTTGTCATTTGTCTATGACTAAGTTTTGCCTTGAGACAATATGCTGTATAAAAACTTAAAACAACTTCAATAAACGTTTTTTGAAAAGAAAAAAAAAAAAAAAATAAATAAATTTGATTTTCTTCTTTACAGGTACATTTTAGAAATACTATTAGCTAGTGAATAATAAACAGGGAAGAAGCCTTGACATTATAAGTGGACCTTGCATTTTACTGCAAGGTATGCTTTAATATGGCTGAAGACTGAACTATAGCATTCAATGAAATCACATCTCAGGTCCCATTTTGCACACTCCTTATTACTCTTAACCCTTTGAGGACCGTAAGGTTTTGGAACGCCAAAAGAATCAATTTTTTTGTTTTTAAAGTTCGTACACTTCAGTTGCTGTAACTAAGCCATTTCATTTAATAATGGGCAAAAAGCTAGATCCACTTGTTGTTTGTTGATAAGAACTAATATTTTGACTCAAACCAAAAAAAAAGAGTTTTAAGTTCTTAATCAGATGATACATGCAATTACAAACATGGGACAAATACGTCCCTTGGTCCTCAAAGGGTTAAACCAAGTTGACATTTTTCTAAATGTGCTAAAAACCTTTTAGGCTCAAGATGTAAATCCTCAGGAGAGGATTAAATGTTTTCTTCTCACCTACAGAGGGTAGTTATATAAAACCCCAAGGCAAGACAAACTCCAACCAAAACCTGTGGCTTGTGTGGCTATTTGCACACTGAATGACCGGCTAGCTTCTTATCTCAGTATCTATATACACATGCATACTGTACAAACATACATCAACAGCACCTTACAAGGAGATAAAAGGCTATGCCTGGCCATATAGGTGTGCTTGCAACTGTCTTGCATGCTGAATAAACCTTTAATACAATTGACTATTTAGGAGGATAGTAAAGGAGATATCAAGAGAATGGTTGTGCACTGAGGCAAAGTATGTGGCTCTGCAGACCCTGAGCTTTTTAGGCAAGACAACAAAATATTCAGCCACATAAAGAATATACACTACATATCTATTTCTCTTATGCGTATACAGATTTGACACAACCACTGTACTCTCTGCAAGTTCAACATTTTCTTGTTACTATGTGAAAATGATATGATATACAGAATGCTGTATATTTAGTGCATTCCACATGCAGATGCTGATAATAGCAGGCAGCTGTAAACTGACGTTTTGGCTAATGATCAACAAGACACAGTGAATAACGCAAAGGACTGTACAAGCATAAAAGAAAATGATGGTAAGGAATAGTAATTACAACACTGCCTTAGGCTAGGTTTGCACTATGGCCACATATGCATGGAAACAGTAGTCCATTTATTTGAATGGGCTGAATTACTTATGGAAAAACAGGAAAAAGGTCCCTACACCTTTACCAAAATCTCCGCCGTTTTCCAAGGCATGGGGATGCCATTAAGAATTAATGGCACCCCCGTGTGTCTGCTAACAACAGCGCGTTTTTTTTTTGTTGTGAGTGCGGGAAAACATACAATTTACAAGTAATCTTGCACCCACTCAGATGTGAACCTAGTCTTACAACAAAAAAAACTTTATTTTTGAACAGCTCTGAACATTGGTTGTACAATATGGACATAATAAACATGAGAATTTCTATGAGCCTTACCTTAGGTGCAGCAGATCTTTCAGATGGTGGGATCATTTCAGGGGTGAGGACCTGAGGAGGATCGGTACCTTTCAGCAGCTTCAGGTTGATAAAGTGAAAGGCCAATGCAAACTGTTCTTTGGTAAGTTTTCCACAATCTTTTGTGTCACACAAAGACCTGCAATGGAACAACAAACGACAAAACATCAGTTTCATTCAGTAACCAAAACATGGCAGTACAACCATACAGACTGGTGGGAAGGGATTAAAGCAATCAAAAAAACTCCCTCACCCTATATAATGCGTAACACAGTAAAGCCTTCTTAAAGTGGTAGTAAACTATGCTTTGCTATTTTTGCCTACAGGGAAGCTAGTGCAATGCTTTCCAGGCTCCTTTGGACAAAAATAATAAATGTACATTTTTTTTACCTGCAAAAAAAAATGTGCAGTTATTTATTTTTGTTCCAATAACATTTTATTGATTATTTTTATCCAAAAGGTGAACTTATCCTTTAAGGAAGATGGGAACATCCTTTTAAGGAGAACTTAGCTCAGGATACATATCACCAGTAGACATTTCTTATGAGCTGCTGCAGAATCATGCCATAGCTTTGATTTATACACAAACCCCTCTGAGCTGGGAAAGTTTATCACTATTGATGGAAGGAGTTAACCAAAGGATGTAATTATAAGTATTCTAGTTTTTTCATTCCCCAAAACCAACAGGAGCAAGGCATTGCCTAAACAAGGCTACATGTCCAGCTGCTGTAAAAGTGCAGCCATAACAGACAACTGAATATTCTTATCTATGACCAAGTATTTTTTTATTTTTTATTATAAAGGATTTATATAGCGCCAACAGTTTGCTCAGCGCTTTACAAAATGAAGGTAGACATTACAGTTACAATACAATTTGGTACAAGAGAAAACAGAGGGCCCTCATTAGAGCTTACAATCTTTTTATATGGCATTTCCCCTTCTGCACTTACCAGATGTGGGCAAGAAGTCCTGATGGCAACCCAGTCTTAAGGAAGATCTCTCTGACCTCCAGACCAGACACCAGGCCATCCTGGTCTTTGTCAAGTTTCACAAAGATATCTTCATATTTTGTTTTCTCTATGTGTGACACAACCCACTGTAAATAAATAAAAAGACCCTGAGATGCAAGGTTTTAAAAAAATTCTATCCTAAAGAACAAAGTAGATGTGTTTCAGAGCTTAAAATTAAACACAGTTCATGTTAACCTTCAGAATACCATAAATGACCAAGACCAGGTGATAAAGAGAAATACAGACAGCCTAAAGCCAATCTACACCTCTACCGTTACTCTAACTAGTTATGTAGTTTGGGCCATGCTGGCCCAAACTATTTTCTACATTAGCAGGTGAGCCCACTGAGCATGCTGTATGAACTGTATGCAGCCTCAGCTACATACAGTAAACAGCACTGCGTTTCGGCACTGGGATGGGAAGTTCCCTTTTCAGACCAGAAGAAAATTGGGTCAGGTTGAACCCTGCTCAGTCATTCACAGGGAGATTTGTATTCTATGAATGAGTCGTAGATCATGATGCCATCCGGCTATCAGAAGAAGCTTTGTCAACATTCAGAGAACACAAAGCTGCTAATGAATGGCTGAGCAGCGCTTAGCCCAACTCTATTTTGTTCCAGGTGTGGGAAGGGAAGTTCCGATCCCACTGCCAGAACTCAGTGCTGTATACTGTATGTAGCTGTGGCACGGTAAAAAAAAAAAAAAAAAGGGCAAACTTGTATAATTTGTACTCCTTATTACACCGTAATTGTCAAATGAACAGGCCCCTATAGCAGAAACCGAGAAAAGAGCTCTGAAGCTCAAAGCTGAGGTTTAGGTATGAAATATTTTGTATACTTACAATAGCCCAGCTTGGACCAATGTAAATATGCATGTGCCACAACTGGATGATGCCTGTGGAAGCTGGAAAACACTGTAACAAACACCTCAGTGATCCATCACCTGCAGTGATCACCAGTTGTTACCAGCTAATCTACATTGCAGCAGGGTCCCCTTGTGCAAAGTGAACAAAGGAGGTTGCTCACTCAGCATAGGCACGATTCAGAAAATACACAGCAAAGTGTTCTCTGATTGGATGAGATGGAGAGAAAGGCGGTGATGACAATCTCTGCATTGGCCAATCAGAGAATGCTTTGCATTCATTGAGAAAATTCAAAGTGATCTCTGAATGGTGCCCGTGCAGAGTAAGTGAGGGACCTCCTGTGTTCACTAAGCAGCAGGGCAGCCATTTGGCACAGGTCCCAGAATCTAGTGGTGACAATGTAGTAGCAAGTTAATTTTAATGCAAACACAATATATTACCCAATTTTTGGTACAAGGTAAAGAATGAGGTTACATCAAGTAAACAGATAGCAAACATCAAATATCAAATCTGCACATGCCCATGAAACGACAACAAACTTTGTTACTGAAAATTGTCGATACGTGACAATTTAATAGCTTTTACAAGTTATCTGTTTCTAGAGAGAACCGTGAATGAAGGCCCTAGAACTATGCATGCGCAGCGATACAGCTAATATGTGTAACGCAATTGCTGTTTACAAATGTAAGGACACTGTTCGTTCATCAGGGAAGAGATCAGCAAATGGATGTTCACTGATCCCCCCTTTGTTCTATTGGCCGACACCTACCATGCCAAAACTAGGGGCAGGGGAGGCCAGAATAAATGGCAGAGGTAGTCATGCAGGGGAAGGATGGGCATCTGTTTGATCAGGTGGATGTCACTTCCAACAGAAAGTTGACAGTACACTTCACATATGTAAATACATTATTGGCTAGGCATGTGCTTTGAAGCCAATGCTGCTGCCAGTGTAAGCCCGTACATCAGTAGCAGCAAAAGGGTTAAAGCTGAAATCAAGCAGATACAAAAGAAGCACATTAACACAGCTCTGCAATCATTAAAATCATTAAACATTTTTAATGCAAGCAGTGGAAGTGGGCTGAAGCAGAATTGTAGCCTCCCTTTAATAAAATATAGTGCTTCAGCATTTAATTATTAGTGCATCTGCACTTACAGGTTTTTTTCTTAGTCCCCCTGCTAAGTTTCAGCAATACCTGTTGAACCTTCCAGTGACGTCCACCACCTCATGAAGGAGTGGCAAAGATCCTGCACTGCTCCTCAATCCAGCCCAGTCGCCACTCTCATGAAGGGTGTGCCTGCACTTCATTTGGAATAAAAAAATGATTGTAGAAGCATAGCAGCCTATAACCCAGGGTCTATGAATATGTAGCCTGTGTCCTGTACTGTACGATATAAGATAATAATATAGCAGGGGTGTAAGCTATCAGCATTTTCTGTGCTGATTCATAAGCTTTTAGCTTGTCAATCAGCACTTGGCCACACCAAGTCCTGCTCAATCCTTTCTGGATTGACAGCCCTGCCTCTAATGCTGCAACCCTCCCACTGTGAGTTTTGAAAGGAGCACCCATGAGACACAAAAAAAAAAAAGAGGATTTAGCTCTGCCAAGGAAATTAAAAGAAATTTACTTGATGAGACTTGTTCATTACATAGTAACTGGATTTGGGACCTCTTTAGACTGTCATACAGGAGCCTTTGGTTGTAAAGCAGAGCGCAAAAAGAGGGAGGGAAAAACAGTACAAGGAATCGATTAGGTGTGGTACAGTGCAAGAAGCACGATCATAGGACAAAACAGAGTAACAGGGGGTTACCTGTTTGCATGGAGTTCAGCTTTAAATGGTTAAGCATGAAATATCCTATCTACACTAAATCTATCATCACTGGAAAAAACCCTCCATTATACCTTGCTCCTTTTCCCAGTTATTCTTATTACTGAAGTTCATGTACACTTAAAATGGGTAATTTCCTCCTGGTCAGTGCAACTGGAACTTTTCACCCCTCAAGTTTCAATCACAGGACCAATGCTGTGGAACTGGTCACATGGTCTCAGCCTAGGGGAGTGATATGGAAGCTGAATCACTTAGCCTCTAAAAAACATAACACTCCTTTCTGCAGAGATCATGGGACTGATGCTAAAGTAATGGAAATGTTAGTAGTAAATAAATAAGCATTTCTAAGCCATCTAAACCTTTATTACTGGTATCAAATGTGTGAGAAATGTGTCAGTTCAGGAATTTATGTCTGCAGCTTCAGAGATCCATTTCAGAAAGCAAACTAAATTCAGTCATATCAAACACATCTATGTACAGTATGACACATTGTCTTGCTTAGCAGCTTGTATGTTCTTACCTGGGTAACAGGTGCTTTAGTGGGGAGGATTCCTACAGGTGGCAGCGAATGTCGTGGCTCCTTAGACGGTGGCATTGGCAGTGGTGGTATGATTGGCAAGGATGAGGCAGGACCAGAGGATTTCCTCTTGGATGATGGCACCAATGCAGGAGGTAAAATCATAGGAACTGGATCTTTCTCCAAAGCAGAGTACACTAAAAACATTGCCTGCACAAACAAATCAGACACAATGTTAGCATCCAGTTTCAGTATTTCTTTGTGACTTTTAATTTGTTTGCTGTACCATATCTTCAGAAGAATGTTTTTACCATGGACTGTAGGCATCTTATAAAGCCCAGTAGATCTTTAGTTAAACACTCCAAAAAAAAAAGCCACTCTAAAGTAGACATCCTACTTCATGTCAATCAATTTTATAGCCATTGGAGACCCAACAAAGATCTATGCAAGAATAAATTTTCCCCTAAAGTCAGTTTCTACATTCAACTAGGCATACCAATCCACTCCCCAAGGAGGTAGGTGTTCAGACACCGAGCTCTGCTCTGCATTGTCAGAGGGCAGGGGAGCAGATGGGTTTCTCGCTTTCACAGAAGCACCAGAAATCTAAAATTAAAAAAATGCTGGCGACCATGACAGTAAATGAGATAGGGAAGTATATGCACACGAGGCTGCTTACTGTCCTGTCCATGTTGGGTGCAGGGGAAGGTTGTTTTAGTACTGGTTTGTTTAACTGAGAATTTCAGTACCTGAGGGGACTTTTCAAAGGAAGCATGCACTGATAGAAAATTGTAGGCTATCACAAAGGAGCTCACTCAGAACATGCAAGCTGATGGTTGCATGTTGACCCTGTGGTATTCAGAAATTTTAAAAAGTGAGTCAGACCTGATCTGCACACAGTTTCCAAATTAGGGATGCAAAGGCTAATGAAGCCATTGAACCAACAAGGCAGCTAGCATTTTCTGAAGAGAAGGTCGGCAACAGCAGACTGTCCTTTTCTCTAAGCACACGTCTCCTTTAATCTCAATAACAAGGATGGCACACAGATGTAACAGACATGCATACACTTTATGGATGGTGTGGGGATGGCCAACACAACATTAGCAAGCTAAATACTTACAACTGCAAACTCATCTCGGTCTAAAAGTCCATCATGGTCAATGTCACTTAACTCCCAGACCTTAAAAAAAAAAAAAAATATTTAGTAGTTAGAAAAGCAAATGAACAGTTGGATACCCTGCAAAGCATTACAGAATGAGAGGTAATACAAGCACTAGGCAGGCAGTAGGAAGGATAGACCCCTGATGGTCACACCTACCCTTCCCAGCACTTCCACAGGCAACTTGGAATTGAGCAGCACAGGTTTGACCTTGTCCCCTGACAGAAATCCATTCACAGGGCTTAAACTGTCAAATATTGCATCATATTTGGCCTTTTCTTCAGCCTGTAAAACAATCAAAGGTCAATTAATTCATTTTTCAAAAAGAAGAAAATATTTGACAATAAACTTGTTTAGAAAAGTACATGCACACTGGAGCTATACTGTCCCGGACATCCAGCTGCATCTTACAGGTGTCAGGAATGAGCTGAGGTGTACACTGCACTGAGCATGCCCCACAGGCAGTGTACACTATTTAAAAAAATGTTAGGAGACAAAGAAAAGAAGAGACATGCAAAGTCTCCTAGAGATTTTTTTAACTTAAAAGCAGTGCTCAACTCTCCCTCTCCACCATGTTTTCTTTCCGCATTTACCTTTAGTGCTGTTCAAAGCACATACTTATCAGCAACTGAAAATCCAACGTTATCCCAATGAGATTCACTGTTTGGGTGCCATGCAGTGGGTCCTGCGCCACCATCTTGGTGCTCTAAAGCGGACTCTCTCTCCTGGGTATAGGCAGCCAGCTCCATGACATGCTAGACTCGCCACTTGTCCTGCCCTCTGAACCCCCCCCCCCCCCCCCCAGCTGTTCTGTGTGCCAATTCTGCAGCCTCCGAGATGTGTTATAAGTACCCCATGAGGCTGCAGGACGAGATATGCATCATTCTAGCCTAGATTTAAATTGAAATGGTGACGGGAGCAGGGGAAAAAAAATAAGAAATAAATAAATCACTGTATCGCAATTCTGCTTGTGGAGGAGGGGAGTGTTAAAGCAGAACTCCCTTTATCACAAACAAACTAAAAAAATCCCAGCGCCAATCAAAGAAAGTATACAATTATGCAGCTGTGCACCAGTGAAAACCACCAATAATAAATAACACAAAAAAAAGCGCAAAAATTAAATAAATAAAAATAATCACAAATAAATAAATGTCCGTGCAAAAAATATATATATAATATTTCAAACATAAGTCCTTATTTTCCCAAAAGGATTTTCAAAACAATGTTCCAAAATGTGCTTCCACCTAATCACCACGTGAAAAATAATATTGAACGCACTCACCAGATGGAGGTGAGTAATAAGCCTCATAGGATATAAGGGATCCTATAGCCCCTCAGGAGGAACTCAAATCGCCTTCACCCTGCTTAGATACAGCAATCGACTCCACTCTACTTCTCCATGGAATCCTCAATAGCGTGCAAGGAAAGAAAGGCTACATAGTGTAATACTGCCACTCAATACCATATAAATCGATAGAATAAGGACACTCACATGTTTCAATAAAATAACAGGCCTTGTTTAATAGCCTCAAAGGCTTCAAAGGAACAAGTTTCCAAATTGTAAATATAGGGATCTCACGCTTTAAGGATCACTGTAGAGGATGACCAGCTTTCCACCTCAAAAATGGCTGCTTGAACCGCAAAAGTCGGCGTGCGTTCCAAATACCGGAAGTGACGTAGGCCAAGAAGACTGCAGACCGGAAGTGCATCAACGCGTTTCGCCCCACCCACAGGGCGTTTTCAAGACCTTGGACCTGAGGTCTTGAAAACGCCCTGTGGGTGGGGCGAAACGCGTTGATGCACTTCCGGTCTGCCGTCTTCTTGGCCTACGTCACTTCCGGTATTTGGAACGCACGCCGACTTTTGCGGTTCAAGCAGCCATTTTTGAGGTGGAAAGCTGGTCATCTCTACAGTGATCCTTAAAGCGTGAGATCCCTATATTTACAATTTGGAAACTTGTTCCTTTGAAGCCTTTGAGGCTATTAAACAAGGCCTGTTATTTTATTGAAACATGTGAGTGTCCTTATTCTATCGATTTATATGGTATTGAGTGGCAGTATTACACTATGTAGCCTTTCTTTCCTTGCACGCTATTGAGGATTCCATGGAGAAGTAGAGTGGAGTCGATTGCTGTATCTAAGCAGGGTGAAGGCGATTTGAGTTCCTCCTGAGGGGCTATAGGATCCCTTATATCCTATGAGGCTTATTACTCACCTCCATCTGGTGAGTGCGGTCAATATTATTTTTCACGTGGTGATTAGGTGGAAGCACATTTTGGAACATTGTTTTGAAAATCCTTTTGGGAAAATAAGGACTTATGTTTGAAATATTATATATATATTTTTGCACGGGCATTTATTTATTTGTGATTATTTTTATTTATTTAATTTTAGAACTCCCGATTTATGGCGTTTAATTTGCATTAAGGACCAATTCCATTTCTAGTTGTTAATTTGAAAAAATGTTTATGGTTTGAATGCTGTAAGATAAAATTACTCTAAAAGCTGGGCCCTTAACGTTGCTAACAAAGGCCAGAAGTCTCAAATTTAATTCTACTGTTATCTCAAATATAGCGTAAGAAATCCTGTAAAAATGAGAAAAAAAAAAAAAACAACAACTTTGACCTCCAAATTAACTTTAAAAAATTCTATGAGTGAGGTATTGTAACACAGCATAACATTCACATACAATCACTTAAGCAATAAAGACTAAACATGCACATACCTAGTGATATGCACTGACCCAAGGCTGCTAACACTCACCTTGACAGCCCATGGCAGATCCACAGAGATGGGAGCAGCTACCAAGGAAGGGCTTGCAGTGTCATGCTAAGGAAGAACACACAACTTTATTTATTTACACAACTTATCAGTGGGCACTTTATAAAAGCATTATTCCAAACCAAACTGTTTGGGCCATTTCCTGCAGAAATGGTAGATGGAATACCAGGAACACTACTCAGCTTTGTCCTACCTAGCTCAGTGCTGGGTTTGGTTTAGATGGCTTTCTATTAATGCTATACAAACAATAATCAAGACAGACTGTGAAAGTTCAAAAATCTGGCAGATGACTACACTCTAGTCTAAACAGGTCCCTTGTGATGAAGACAAAGAAGTCTGACCGCACAATCTTATGAATTGTATGCATATTCTGGAAGCAACATTGTGACAAAGGAAACTTGCCCCATACCAATGTTTCTCAATTTAAGGAGAGGTCAGCATGCCCAGTCTCCATATTTCGCTCTGTATTCTTATACTAAAACCCCTGTAAAGTCTCCCTAATCCTACCTGACATTACATTACCATAAGACCTCAGATACAGCATGGTCCTGATCTACACAACTTTGTGCCAGGCATTGTTTACTGGCAATTTTCTCCAAGTGCGCAGGTGCAGCTACAAGCTCAATAAAATGAGTGGAGAGCAGAGATGGGTGTTGGACAGAGAGAAAGACGTGCCTAACCAGGTCTGTCATAATAATAGAGTGCACTGAGCAGAGTGGCCAAAGTCTTTTGCCTACTACACAATTACAGTATATTAGGTGCTGCAGAGTTTTATTCGCATCAAGCAGGTTTTGTATTCCCATATTAGTTTATGGGAATGCAAATCCTGCTTCAAGAAGGTCAAATGCAGGTAAAGAAGTCATCAAATGCCTCTTCAAATGATTTCTGAATGACCTCAGAAGCATCCATAAATGATGCCTACTTTTTGCCATTGGCACAAACCCACAGCCCACTGACACGAAACCTTAGCTTAGGTTTACAAATGTGCCACCCCTGTTTGACAGGCAATATATTACCTCACCATCTGTTTTTGCAATACCCGCTGTGACAGCACTGCTCACCAACTATGAAAAGAAGCATCGAAACTGCGCCATATGTATACCCCCCGTCCAGTTGCCTTTACAGCTTGAGAGGGTCCATAAAACCGCAGGTCAATCATGTGAAACATATGAATGGAGAGGAGACTATAAAAATGGAGGCTGCTAAAGCTGAAATCTAGGCAGATATTAAAGAGACATGAACACAGATCTGTAATCACTGCATACATCAATACAGGTATTACTAATATGAAAGCAATGTAAGTAACGGAATTTGACTTTGGTATCTGCCCGGGGCTTTGGGAAAAGCAGCACAAGCAGCCAATAAGTTCATGTGCTGACAAGCAGCATTCTGACAGGAGGAAAAAGCAGAGTGACAGAGATAAGAGTTCATCACTGTGCATTTTCTCCTTCACTGTCCAGTCAAAAAGCTGGGAGAGCTCATTACAGCCTGGGAACATAGCAGCAGAGATGTACTGCAGAGAAAAGCTCCGAGCAGTAGGTATGTTTTGCAGCAAAAGCGGCTTTATCTTTATTCAATAATTACATTAGCAATTTTTGACTAGGGGTTTGCGTTAAAAATGGCCTAATCTAAATATGTACTTCTGTGACTTCAACTGGCCTTTTAAAGAGTTAGTTCACCTTTACCAAAAAACTGCCTATGCAGATAAGGGCGCATCTGTAAATAAAAATGAACTGTGCAGCTCGGACTAAAGCTAAATAAATCCCTTGCTATAGGTGCAGGCCATTGAGATACCTCCTGAAGCCTGACCTTAAAACTCCCAGGATGTTGTTAGGACATTGCTAAGCATGTCCTAGCCATTACTGTTCACCTTTACCATCACAGGAGCGAGCTCTCAAATTCTGAGCTTAGAATTACTGCATTAGGAGAAAGAAAGCGCAAATGAGGTTTGAATCTAAGAAAGTTTCTGTGACAGTGAAAGTGAGCTGTAAGTTGGTCCTCGCTTGTCAACGTCCTAGCAATATCCTGGGAGATTTCAGATCAGGACTCATAAGGTACAAAAAGGCCTACACCTACAGTAAGGGTATTATTCAATGTTGGTCATACCTGCATAGCTTGTTTTCATCTACAGATGCTTCTTATCTGTATAGGCAGTTTTTTTAACCACTTCCGATCCGGCCCATGTACATAAACGGCCAGACGGGAGGAGTGCAGGAGCGGGTTGCCGTTCATAAACGACGCCCGCATTTTCAGGCTGTGCGCGCTCCCTGGGAGCGCACGCACCGTGATCCGGTGCCCGCTGTACAGGACCCCTGTGTGAGGTCCCGATCGTGTGATCACTGATTGGCCAATCAGTGATCACATAAACAGTAGTAAACAAGATGTCACTTCCTGACATCATTGCTTACTAATAGTGAAATCTGTGAATGATCACAGAGGTCACATGGTACAGGGCTATTCACAACAGCATTTCTCAATGGCTGGAAGAATGCAGTCAGAGAGAAGGAGAAATGATTGCTTTTGCAGCCTTTATGGGTGTAAAAGAAATCTGTGTACAAAAAAAAAAAAAAAAAAAATCTTCATCACCCCCCACAAGTAGTACAGTGTCACTATGGTGGCACTGTACTGCTAGGGTGACAGTATGTAAAAAAAAAAAAAAAAAAAAATATAAAAAAAATAAAAAAAAGTAAAAAAAAACATTTTTTTAAAAAAATTATAATTTTTGGTTATAAACTAATTTGGGTTATTTTTGTTTTTTACTAAAAAGATAACTGAATAAATTGGCCAAGATTTATGAAGAAAGATTATTTATTTGCAAAATTTTATAGGAAAAACACTTTTTTTTCAAAATATTTAGACTTTTTCATTTATAAAGCAAAAAAAAAAAAAAAGAAAAAAAGGCCAGTGGTGAACAAATACCACGAAAATAAAGTTTTATCTGTCTCAGAAAAATGCTAAAAAATTCAAATGGGTACAGTGTTGCATGACTGCGCAATTGTCATTCAAAGTGTGATAGCACTGAAAGCTAAAAATTGGCCTGGACTGGATGGGGGTAAAAGTGTCCAGACGTGCAGTGGTTAATAAGGGTGAACTTATTATCTTTGACATTTATAAGCTTGCTTCGAGTAAAAAAAACAAAACAAAAAAAAAAAAAAACAACTTACAAATCTGGGAGGAGGAACCACCTTCTTGATACTGTTGAGTGACACCTCCATGCCATTTTGCGCACAGGCGACCAGCTGCAAGGCTACAAAAAATTCCTTCGAAAATAAAATAAGGCATTAGTGTATTGTTTTCTTACCATTATATAGACACAAGCACTACAGTACATATACAGTCACATGCGTGACACACTCTAGACCCAGAACCGCAAACAAAAGTCTACAAGGAAGAATTCATCAGGATCCGGGTAAAGCAATCAAGCACACTAAACAAAGACAGAAATTCCTTACTTTCAGGAATGAAGTTAAAGTGACAATGTGAAGACAAACAGCCAACCCACAGTACCAAGAATTTCAGGTTCTTACAAATTCATTATAGACAATGGCCCTCATAAAGGGGCTGATACTGGAACCAATATGTACAGAAAAATAATGTAGCAGTGCTTATAGCAATCAATGACAAACCTTGTTTATGTAAAATATTAAACCTGATGGTTTTGCTGGGGGCAATTGGCTAGAGTTACCACACATCAGCCTCAGCTAAAGGTTCAGAGGGAAAGGGAGAAAAGATAATGCACTTAGCTGGCAGTGAGGCCCCACACTGCAGAGGTTAAAAGAAGTAGGGCTTTTTTTCCCCCATTTATACTTACCTAGCTGGATGCAGCATTGGTACGATACGGCATCTGTCCCCAGTCGGCTCTAAGGGTGAGAACTCAGCAATCACATGACCGCTGATCACCGAGTTCTCTCTGCTCTAAGAAGAGAGCGATGACTGTCAGTAACCGCGGTCTGCTCTGCCCCCCCCAGTGCTCACTGGAGTGTTGGGCTGTGGAGGGGGAAGAAGCAGCTGGCTCAGGCTTTCAGTGCTTCATTGAGAGACTGAGCCAGGTGCCGCTCCAGACTCTGGGGTGGACCGCGACTTTGAAATCGGGATCTTTCCCTAGCCTAGAGTGACGTCAGCCAAATGCAGACTTCAGCCCGCTGTCAGCTGAAAACGGGTCACAGGAGTGCAGAATGAACTGCACACCTGCTATCCACTGGGAAAGTGCAGTGAAAAGAGCGCTGCCTGTACTTCTCCTTTAAAAATTAAAAAAAAGTAAAAAATTAAAAAAAAAAAAACAACAGGTTATACTTACCTGCTCTATCCAATGGTGTTGTGTCCTCTGACAGAGTTCCTGGCTCCTCCTCTTTGGCGAGTGCCTCCATAGGAAGCCACTCCCTATGGGGGCACCCGTGTGGGCTCGTTCCTGAACCCTGCTGCCTGCATCCATAGACACAGACAGTGGGACTCAGCCCTATCTTGTCATAGGATTTAATTGACAGCAGCAGGAGCTCCCACTGCTATCAAATTGCCCTGTGGGGAGGTAGAAAGAGGAGAGAGCCGCTGCTCTCATGCACATTGCTGGATGGAGATTGGGTACAGGTAGGTATAAGGGGGGCTTTTGGGGGGAGGTGTGGCTGGATACAGAAGTTTTAGTTATTTATTTTACTTACTTGAAACCATTAACTTTATTAAAACAGACAATCATAGACATGAAAAAAAATTAATAATACACATTGCATTCACTGAGGGAGAAACTGAGGCAATAAAGGAAATCGCCACTGTGTAACGGTACAATGTATAGTGGATTACAATCATGTAAGTAGCAAAATAGAAGCTCATTCTCAGGGAGAAACAATCATCATGGTAAAGAATCCCTACCAAGGTGCTAGAAAGAACCATAAGTACAAACAGAATCAACAAGTACTTCAAGATTATAAGCATTACAGGAACATGGGCCAATCAATCAATATCAACTTGTATAGTAAGGTTCGAGAAGGGACAAAGGTGGTGTACAAAGAGGTCCAGTATAATCAGGCATGCAATGAACCACATTTATTACATATTATTATAATACAGTATTTATATAGCACCAACAGTTTGCTCAGCGCGTTACAATATAACGGGAGACAATACAGCAACAATACAGTTCAATACAAGAGGGGTAGGAGGGCCCTGCTCCTTGGAGCTTACAATCTAATATATACAGGTTGCAGTGGACTGCACCACCGATCCCATATTGTTATATTTAGACGGGCATCCCCTATACAGAAGTTTTCTACCTTCAAGCATTAAATGCATGAAGGTAAAAAAAACTTTAGCCTTATGCATATATAAAAATGCCTTAATGGTTGGATGTCAGTATGAAACAGTGGGCATTCCTAGTCATCCTAATTAGTATGTAGACCGTCTTAGGTAACACCCACATGACAAAGTACTGAATTCCAATGAATGAAAGGGTGGACTGATGACAGTCAGGTCGGGGAGGAATATGTTGAATGACACTGACATCATCCAATCAGGAAATGAGGTGAACTTGCTGCAACCTCTAATGCACATTATGAGAAGCTCACAGTGTTCAGTGAAATCAGAGTAAGCCATTTTAGTACAGGAGAGCAGCCTGTACAACAGTGCAAGACTAAAGATAAGGCTGGAATTCAGTTTTAGGTCTCATTCATATGGGGTGTTCTATTGCAAATGCGCATGCAGGGCCAAGTGGGATATACAAGTGATCTGTGCATCACAGTGCAGGAAGTCCCATTGATGCCAACTGGGATGCAGCAGCCACTGCTCCCAATAGGACATCTGCGTATCCCCTAATTCACACTATGTATGTATGGGGACACAAACTTGGACTCACACAGATGGCATACTGCAGCAGCTGTATCTGTGCAGCGGATGTATTCAAGCTGACATCACTGGGACTGCATGCATGGAAATGAGCGTAAACACCTGAACATCCCCAGAGCACCCTGTACGGATAAACACAGCCCTGGGCGTATGCTATAGTATACCCCGTGTGAACGAGGCCTTAATGTGATTCAATACACTCATTAAAGCTTCTCTAGCTAATGTTGATGCATCTCTGAGCAGTCGTCAGTCTTTTACAACATCAATATCTTTTTGTAGAACTTGCCAAAGTATTAAACTAGTGCAGCCAAAGGGAAACCAGAGAAAACACCTATTCCATCATGGGAACATATCCTTTTTTTTTTTTTTTTTTTTTTTAATTACTCTGCTTCCACTACTAAGCAAACTATTAGTACTGAGAGAACAGGCCATACAGGCAGATAAACGTAATATTCAAATTTCTGCACACATACTCAACAGCTGTGAGGATAAAATCAAATTAAACATTTTTGTTTTGTCCATAGAAAGGTCTATAGTTATAAAAATAAAAAAACACACAATCTGTAGCACAGAATACACATCAAGCCTGTGAATTAGAAAATGTAATGCAACGTTAGGTTAGACCAGCAATGGGCAAACTACAGCCCGCAGGCCGTATACGGCCCGGCGGACCTTTTAATCCGGCCCGCGGAGCGTGATACTGTCAGGATGGCTGTCAGGATGTGTGTAGGCGGGGCAGCGTGACGAACGTGAGGGGAGCTAGGCTCCTCTCACAGTCCGCCCTGAAGATCGGAACGGCGCGGGAACACGGTGAGAGGAACGCGCGGAGCAAAGGTAAGTGAATGAATTACTATGGGGGATGAATTACTATGGGGGATGAATTACTATATGGGGGATGAATTACTATATGGGGGGTGAATTACTATATGGGGGTGAATTACTATATGGGGGATGAATTACTATATGGGGGATGATGAATTACTATATGGGGGATTAATTACTATGGGGGATGAATTACTATATGGGGGATGAATTACTATGGGGATGGGGGATGAATTACTATATGGGGGATTAATTACTATGCTTACTATGGGGGAATATTACTATACTTACTATGGATGACACATACACATCATTCATCTACTCTTGGTCCGCCCCCGGGTCCAATATATGAACCCATTGCGGCCCTCAAGTCAAAAAGTTTGCCCACCCCTGGGTTAGACAATACCCCAGTACATATAAAGCAGAAGTAAAGACAAGAAACAAGAAAAATAAATGAAAATAGGTTATGTGTTTGTCATGTCTAAAGACAAGTTTTGGATAAACTAAGGAATGTTTTAAACCCTTTCATGTCTTTTTTTTCCCCCCCCATCTACAAGCTGTTGGGGAGATTTCACTTCACATCCTGTTCTGCAAACACATCAATAAGCAGAGGGAAATCCCCTTTTAGTCAGTTGTCACAGCAACAAATGTCCCCACTGAAAGATTATCCCTCTCATCCTGTTCTGATAAAAACTCAATTTTTTTTTTTTTTCTCTCAATTTCAGTCCTGGTGACGATGGTCACCAGGGGAAAAACAGTCAATCTTCCTAGTAGGGTAACACATCAGACATCAATAAAAAAGTGACAATGATTTGAATCCTTTTATGCACAAAAAGAGAGAGATTGGTTTTAGATGAACTTTAACATCACCTTTTTAGAGACAGTTGTCCCCAAAACAAAATTTCTCCTCACCTCTTGTTCTGAGGACAGCACTAAAATGTTGGATTTCTCCTCACTTTCTTTTTCAATGACAATGGTGACCACAAAAAAACAGAAGAGTGAACCTACCCAATGGGGATGTAAGTGAATATATCGGAGTGCCAATAGTCCCAAAACGCCAAAATAATACACTTTTTCCCGAAAGTTCAAAATATACAGTCCAAGTCTTTTAGTGTCTAAATGTGCAAATGTCCTAAAAGGTTTATTTGAATAAGAATTCTTAAATTTTGGAGGAAGAATATTAAAGAAGAATATTATGTGGGCAGCACAGTGGCTAAATGGTTAGCACTTCTGCCTGGCAGTACTAGGGTCACTGGTTCGAATCCCAACCCCGGCACCACCTGCCTGGAGTTTGCATGTTCTCCCTGTGACTGCGTGGGTTTCCTCCAGGTACTCCGGTTTCCAACAACATACCCCAAAGACATGCTGGTAGGTTAATTGGCTCCTGTCTAAATTGGCCCTAGTATGTGTATGTATGAATGGGAGTTAGGGTCTTTAGATTGTACGCTCCTTGAGGGTTAGGGAGTGATGTGAATGTACAATATATATGTAAAGCGCTGCGTAAACTGATGGCGCTATACAAGTACCTGAAATAAATAAAACAAATAAATCATGTCTACGCAATGGGGAGACAACATTAAAAACCTTCAAAGAAGGTCTAAATCTTACTAATTTATCCAAAAAAGTTTCACTGTAAGATTTACAGTTCTTAAACTTGGAACTGCTTTTCTTGGTGGTCCCCTCCACTAACACAGGTATGGCCAACAACATGCATTGGATACCAAGCGACTACAAGCTGGGCTGCTGTTAGAAAACACGAGGTCCCATACAACCAATCTGACAACCCTCCCCTCCAAAAAAAAAAAAGTTTACTATGCTTCAGTTATGAATGAACACAGTAATCGGTACCATTCACTCATTGTGTTCAATCAGGAAGGAGCTGGTAAATGTGACATTTAGCGGACCCTTACCCCACTCTCTATTCAGAAGGATCCTATTGTGTACTTGCAGCCAGGAGGGAAGCAGTCAGCACTGTGGAGGTACAAAGGGGGGCCTGGGCAGCAGGGAGAAATGTATTGTGTACAGGGAGGATGATGGGGGTGGCGGGGGGCAATTACTGGAACTGATCCCCTGTATGGCTCTCTCTGCAGCAGCTGAAAGCCAGCAGGAGGGAGAGAAGAAGCCATGCTTTCAGCTGCTGCAGAGAGAGCCATACTGGGCCTCCCTGATGGCCTGGGCTCCCGTACAGGAGGACTGGTGGTACTCACTTACCCACAGCCCTGACTACAAGTCCCAGTAAATCATGTCAAACATAGGCTGAACAGCCTGCTGTCTGGCCAAATATAACTAAGGCTCAGTTCATACTGATGTGATGCAGGAAACGCAAGGAATCACTGCATTTCCCACATCGCACTTTAACGCAATGACACTGTATACATGGAATCTGCTGCGGGTGCCAATTAAAAGTTAACTACATCACAAAAGTAGGTTGCAGAACACAGTGCGTTTGCCTGAATTGGATCGCATGGGTATGGACACCCATCTTTTCCGATTCCAGTGCAGAAAAAAAAGGTGCCTGCACCTTTTTCGACTGTATACGGTGCAAATTATGGGCTCAAATTGCACCACACATAATCACTTATGATATTCAAAAGAATGTGGAGCGATTCCTGTGCGAGTCACATGTGATGTGAGTGTTAACCGGGGCTGAATTTTCAGTAGCTGAAAAAAAAGATCTGGACTTCCCAATTATGAGCTCAGAGGAAATCCCCAAACTGAAACAATTCCTTCCTCTGCTCAGATTTCCTCCCTCATCATATTTAGATCCCATACATCTGCTATATAGACAGTTCACTATAGCACGCACCTACAGCCTACTACATGGGGGGGGGGGGGTCTCTATTCAATGGACTGATTTCACCAAAAAGAATACCATTTGATGATAGTAGTATTTTGAGAATGTATCTTTAAAGCTCATTACCTGCTTGTTTAAGTACCCTTTGCTTTCCGTGTCAGCCAAATCCCAAACCTGCAGGGAGACGAAGGACAAAGGGTCAGTTCCAGAGACTACTACAGACACACATCCTCAGGAAAGCACAGATACCGTACAGACATCTATATTCCCCAAGTCAGCAGAAAGTATGCTTTGTCATCAAAATATTAATTCATGGGAAAAGAAAAAACACCCGCACAACTCATCAAATACATACAGTGCATTGTTCTCTGTCATTTATATGGAAACATGATTACAACATTGTCATTCTTATTCCTTTATAAAACAACACTAATTATTAAAAAAAAAAAAAAATATATATAATATATATATATATATATAATATATATATATATATATATATATATATATATATATATATATATATAAACTCATTTTCACTGAACGCTTTTTTCAAATGTTTCCTATTAGTTTTGAATGGACTGACAGTGCTTGAAACGGAACTCTAGACAAATATAAGACACCAATGAAGAGATAGATTAGCTTATCAGTCTGATGCTTCTGCCTCACAGTCCAGTCACAAACTGGGGGATGGATAGGACCTGTGTCTTCTAGCCTGCCAGACAGGGCTATGCTGTGGCAGTACAGTGTAGTTTTAAAGACTGGATGGACAGAGAAAACTAACTGAGTGCCAGATAAACAGTCTATATATGCTACATAAATATTTAGTGGTTTGCCTGGAGTTCAGTTAAAAGGCTTGGTGGTTACCACTTCTACACCTGGGACCTCATTTTTTAATCCAAGGATGCTGCAGCTTTAAATACTAAACTAAAAGTCCAAAGGTATAAAAATCTAATGCTAACTTGTGTGAACAAACAAGAAAAAAATGATGCTACAGTTGTTTAATTTTAGGGAAAGAAAAAGTAACACAAGCAAGACAAAAAGGGTAACTGTATCAGGACCATCACAAGTAGTATAAAACATGACAAATCTGGCACCACACAAAACTGTTAGGCCTCTTTTACACTGATGCGGCACAGTTTGCCGGCACCGCTAGTGCAGTTCACCTGCAGTTTTAGTGTGAGTTAGCTTCACTTTCCCATAGAGTTCTATTATGTCTTGTAGTTTTGGTATGCTTTCTGAAAGTGCACCAAAACTCCTGTCTGCTGAACTTTTGGTGTGCTTTCAGAAACAAAAGGGGCCTTATGGGAAATACACAATACTGGACAGGGAGCCTGACACAAGGACAAACTTAGATGTAACCTGTGTTACTGCAAGTAATATACAGGGGTTGGACAAAACAATTGCATGATCTGCAGGTGTGAAAGTGACAAGTTTCATGTTGAAAGTGGAAGTGATGTAACATTCTTTTTCTTCGGCTGTGTGATGAGACACCTAGCTATCAGGTGGGAAGCCTCATTTTCATCATTCACTGTGTGTGCTGCTAGTGATACGGAATTATGTCAGAACTTACAGTGATTCAAAAAGAGCAAATTGTTGGTGCCGCTTAGCTGGTGTCTCCGTGACTGAAGTTGCCATTTTATTTGCCTTCACGGGACTGAGATTGAGCTCAGCAGTCACTTTTACAGGAGTTGTTTTCTTATTCTGTGTAACAATCCTGCGTAATGTCCTTTTGTCTTTTTTGATCAGTTGACCATATCAACCGCACTTATGCTTATCAGACGACGTTTTCTCAGAAACTGTATATATATACCGTACCTTGCAACACGGCAAATACATTAGAAACATAGTAAACTGCCTGCAGAAAAAGTCCTGGTGACCCATACGGGTTTATTTACTAAAGCTGGAGAGTCCAAAATCAGACTCACTTCTGCATAGAAACCAATCAGCTTCCAGGTTTCATTGCCAAAGCTTCATTGAACAAGCTGAGGTTAGAAGCCGAATGGTTTCTATGCAGAAGGGAGTCTGATTTTGGACTCTCCAGCTTTAGTAAATAAACCCCATAGAGTCTGCCCGTTTAATTTTGTGTTTTTTTGTGGGGGGTTGATTTGTTTTAGGGTTGTTTTTTTTTTGTTAACTTGAGTATAGATCTATGCTTGTCCCAAGCATGTTTGAAGCTATTCACTGTTGACTGGCTCAATTCCTCTGCTGGAAGTTTATTCCAAGCATCAGACACACTCTCTCAGTAAAATAGTACTTTATGAGATTAGTTTGAACTTTCTTCCAGTTAGTTTCAGGTCATGTCCCCGTGTTCTTGATTTTGGTTTCATGTTGAAAATACTGCCCTCATGAACCTTATTCACCCCCTTGATGAATTTTAAGGTTTCAGTCATGTCTCCCCTTCCCCTCCTCCAGACAGTACATTGTAAGTTAATAAAGTTGCTCTTGATATGTTTTATCCCCAAGACCTTTTACCATTTTTGTTATCCATCTCTGGACTCGTTCTATCTTATTAATATCTTTTTGTAAGTGAGGTCTCCAGAACTGGACATGGTATTCTAAATGAGGTCTAACTAAAGATCTATATAGGGGAATCAGGACCTCCTTCCTCCTGCTGGTGAGCCCTCTAGTGATGCATCCTAGAATTCCCCACTGCCTGGCCACACTGTTTGCTCATTCTGCAATCATCTGAAATAAATACCCTCAAGTCCTTTTCCTCTAAAGTGCTGGCCAACAATGTACCCCCAAAGTTTGTACTTTCTCAAGGGATTATTTTTCCCTAGGTGAATTATTTTACATTTAGAAACATTGAACTGCAGTTTCCACTTTTTTGACCAATCTTCCAGCAATGCCAAATCATGTTTTATGTTATTTTTTTTTTTCCATTAATATTTTATTAAGTTTTTATCATTTATCTTTTCCAACAGTTAAAATTTCAACATAACTTATTCCATTATTTTCACCCCACATACAAAAAATACAAACTCCCTCTTTCCCCTCCCTATCCCACCCCCACCCTCTCAGCCTCTTTTCTCTTTCTTTTGGAGTCCTAGGATATTCATAGAATTTTCCTTTCCTATACAATTTCAATTAATTTAACCTTCTTAAACTCCTCCCACTTTTTCAATTTCTCACAAAAACCCTCCATTTTGTCCTCCTCTATATGGTATAGTTCTTCCATCCTATATGTCTGTCTACCTTTTTAATCCAGTCCAATATTCTTGGTGCTTCCTGTTCCATCCAAAATTTAGTAATCAGACCCTTTGCTGCATTAATATAATGTAGTAACCCAGAATTTTTATACCTTTCAACAGTTAACTCTGTTCCATGTAAGAGACATACCCCTAATATTTTTATCCCTGTTATTTCTTGTGTCAAGTGAAGTACTTCTTCCCAATATTTTTGAATTTTGTGACATTTCCACCAAATGTGACTTACTGTGCCCTGTTCCCCACATCCCCTCCAACATAAAGGCGATTTCTCCCTATTTTGTTTGTGTACTATATTTGGTGTCATATACCACCTCGCAGACATTTATATTTCATCTCTACCCTCTTTCATACTCACATTCCCATGTGTTAACTTATAAATCTTTTTTTGTTTGTCTTCCTCTATTTTTATTCCTATTTCTTTCTCCCATCTCTCCATATATGCCGGTACCGTTCTTGTTGTTAACTTAGTAAGAATTTTATATATCTTTGAGGTTCCATGTTTCCCATCTCCCCGTGTACTTAAATTTTCAAATGGGTTCCATTGTTCTTTTCTCCTTAGGGGCCTAGGAAGTTTTTATATTAAATGTTTTATTTGAAGATACCGCCACTCATCTACTTTAACAAACAACTCCCTCCTCTTCTTCAATTCTACTAAGGGGCAGATTTCCTCGCCTTTCATTAGGTCTCTTAATTGGGCATCTCCCTTCCTTATCCATCTCCCTGCAATCTTTTCATTCCCCGGTGGAAAAAAAAACATGTTTACAATTAGGCATCAACATAGAGTTAAATTCCCATCCCATCTGTCCGTGCATTGTGTCCCAAGCTCTCAACACTATTCTTGTTTAATACAGTTGTGCTATCACTCCACGAAAGTGAGTTGGCAACCATATTATCCTATCTAAATGTGTTTTACTTAAAGTGTTTTCTATATTTATCAAACCTTTCCCCTGTGAATTATGTGTCCAATCAAAAATTTGTGCTATCAATACTGCATTATAAGATCTTCTAAAATCAGGTACACCTAACCCTCCATTTTCTTTGTCTCAAGTTAGAACTTCATAACTTATTCTAGGTTTTTTATTTCTCCATATGAACTTTAGCATGATTTTTTTCATTATCCTAAAATAAAGTCCTGGCAGCTTTATTGGGATCATCTGGAATTTGTGTTGTGTTCTGGATTCGTCCTATACACAATATACCACCTATCCCGAATTTTCTCATTTCATCTTTAATTTTGTTTAATAATGGAATATAATTTACTTTGTATAGATTCTTCATGGAGACTGCCAATTTTATTCCTAAATATTTGAATTCTTTTTCTTTCTAAGAGAAAGAAAATTCCCTTTGCAAGGCCTCTCTCTCTCTTCTTGGAAGATTTATTTTCAAGGGTAATGTTATCCTTGGGTTATCTACAAAAAAGAGCATAT